ATATATGTGATAAACAGTGACTAGATTTGAAGGCAAAAATCACCTGCTTCAACGAATGTTTGAGAATAGCCCGGAGTTTGTTAGTTAAAGTCAATGTACATTTATGGCGTATGCCACGCCCAAAAAAATGCGCCTTTTTTCGAAACTGAGTATGGAATCCTACGCAACTTAACGAAGGCTACAAGCTAGCCTACAGATCAAATGTTATAAAGGATTCCTATAGGAATCTTATACAATATCCGCAAGAATCTTATAAGAATCTTATAGAAATCTTACAAAATCTTATATGCTTCAGTCGATAGAAATGCATACTGTGATTATAAGATTCGTATGTAAGAAATTTTATAAGATTTCTATAAGATTCTTATAATCAAAACAAAAAGAAAAAAAAACTGTTTTTTGTTGCCTAGAGGACGAGAGTAAAGTTTTGAACTTCGAAATTTTTGAACATTTTTTATAAGGCAGTATAAGATTATGAATACCTTATAAAAAAATTATAAACTAAAATCTTACGAGAATCTTATTCAATTCTTATAAGATTCTTATATTGCGAATTATAAGAATAATCTTATAATTACAGTATGCATTTCTATCGACTGTAGCATATAAGATTTTCATAAGATTCCTAAAAGATTCTTATCTAATTTCCGTACTTTCGGTCGACTAGGATAGCATGTTTAAACCTTGTAGAACTTCGAAAATACTCTCCGGCAAAAACCAAAAACTTACCGTTTTGGATAAAACTTTCTCTTTGGATGTGATATTTTCAACTTTTTCGCGCAAAACAGATAGAGAAATTGAAATAATTTTAATGTGTATGAATTTAACTTAAATATAGAGTAAGTCGGCGAACTCTTTTCGTTTAAGAACTATTATGAATTTCTGCATAAATAGAAAAGTAGACTTATCTTACTTGAGCTTACTTACTAAACAAGATCGACAATATCTTCTGATGGCAATGGCGAATAAAAAGCCTGAACTACTTTAGATTTGTAGCTGGAATCTAAGGGTTCAAACCATTCCTTGTAATTGAAAATCCATTATCATTTCGAGCAGTGACATCCGTCTCTGTAAACGCCTCTCAGTTACACTACAAGTATGCAGATGATAGTTTGAACACTGAGGTATGATCAGTTTTTGCCATTTTCGTTCATGAGATGTTGTTGTAAAAGTCAAGTATCTCTAGCAAATTTCATGTTGAACTTCTGCGGTTTGTCGCCAAAATACATCAAATTATTGACTCAGCGGGTCCTTCACATCGCTTTTCTGTTCCAACACACTTGATTAAGCATTTTTGTGGCACACGAAGCTCTTCTCAGAGTGACGATATGTGTAAAAGACACTGTGCCTTCTACAAAAACCTAAACGTTCTGTTGTAAAGAAGTAAGAAACTCTCATCGTATGAAAGTCGAAAACGGTTTTTGATTTTTAATCAACGATGAGAACAAAGATGTTCTTTGTCATTGCGTTCTATCTGAAGCTACAGCAAAGTATTAGACACATTTTATTGCGTCAATCAATCTGCACTATGGCTAGAGAGTTAGCCATGTCTAAAAAAAATCTCGTATAAACATGTTCTACAAAAAAAACAGAGAAAATAATGCAAATGCAAAACGCACTAACATTAAAAGAAAACAATATCAGGTTATCGAGAAAACAAGAAAAATATCTTAATAGAAAATAATAAGTAGAAATATACCAAAGAATTTAATCACAAAAAATAGCATACATTCAAAAGTATCAAACATTTACAAATTAATTATAAAGAAAAAACATGTCTACAAGATTAGGTTTTCTTTTGATTTGTTGTATTACCTGTGGCCGGAATTGAAATTAGTTTTCGTTGTTGTTCAAGTAAACCTTCTAAATGATCTGCGCGTTTAGCAGCTGATTCATATTGCTGACGTAATTGTTGTACTTGTTCATCTTTTCTGGTTATCGCTTGTTTTATTCTATAGAAAAAAATCAAAATTGTCTGATTACAGTAAACACTATAGAATTAAATGAAATATATGAAACAACTCTAATTTCTAATGGTTGTTCATACATTTTACTCACTTTTCGTGTACTTGTTCTAATTCTTGATCTTTTTCTCGCTGCAGTACATCAATTTCTTCTTTTTTTCGATCTAAATCAATTTGTCGACGAGATTTTAGCTCAGCCATTTCAATTTTCAAACGTTTATTTTCATCGTCTGTCAACACCAAACGGTCAGCAAATTCTTGACGTATAATATCTGATAGACGTTCACGTTCTTGTTGTAATGTGTCAGTAATCTATAATGAATAAACTACTACTGAGACTTTGCGCGAAGAATAAGACGTAGGACACACCTTCCGTATATCATTGATTTCTGTATCTTTCTGTTTTAAAATCACTTTCAAGCGTTCATTATCACCTTAAAACACACAAAAATAACACGAGTGCGAAGACAATTGAATTTGAAATTAAAAAAATACATATACAGTTATTTCAAGGATCATTTCAAAAATGTGTTGGTCACAGATGCTTTTGGAGCAACTTCTAGAAGCAAAAACAATCGTGACATCGTGTTTTCAACGTTCTGTGGAGAAATGGTATAGTTTAGATTAGAGATGTGCAACCCGACCCTCACCCGTACCTGACTCAAAGGTTGGGTACGGATATGAATTTTTCTGGTACGAGCTCCGTCTTTTAAGAGTTCATCCGAAAATCGGAAGGTTTGAATGGAAAATCACGAAATTTTAGTGAAAAAATACAAGATGTCAGCTAAAATGCATGAAGTTTTAAAAGAGTTACTTGAGAACGTAATGATAATTTGACATCTCCAACCGAAGAACAAAAGCTTTTAGTGGGAAACAGAAAGAAGAAAATTTTTTCAGGCATAAGTTCGGTACAGGTGGGATACAGGCACAAAGTTATCAGGTATGGGTCGGATACGGATGAAAAAAAATTTTCGGGTCGGGTGTGCATCGGAAAACGGTACCCGTGCATATCTCTAGTTTAGATCTTGAAATTTCGAATTGCTTTTTAGTGAGTTATTAAGTTTTGATTTTTCGTAAAATTTTGTAAAATAACCAAAAATGGATTCTATTATCCACAATAAGCTTTTACCACGTTTTGGGATTTTATTCTGAAAAAGAGCGTTGCCTCGAAACCCCGCGTAGTCCATGGTCTATGTTTCCATTTATTTCTAAGGTTACTAACAAAATAGGAGCGAATTAAAGCTGTCTGAGGAAAAAATATCTACCATACGAGAACTACAATGGATACAGACGTCGGTCTTACACGCAGTAGTGAAGGGCCTCATGGACTATTATATTACAATTAAAAATTCACCTCAACTTCAGCATTTGATAACCTCACCTTTTTTTATCTGTTAGATACACCACCTGAAAAAATAGGATTTCTAATACGAGGATGAGAAGATAGGCTAAAATTTTTCCTATAGGATAGAGGAAATCTAATCCCTCTTGTTTTTTTCCGAGAATTAATCCAGAAAACATTCGCGGATACTATATTATCAAATATACACATAATACATTTTAAGAGCTAATCTAGCAGTAATTACCTTCGAGTTCTGTATATTGGGCTTTCACTTGATTATGTCGCTCCTGTGTTTGTCGTTCTGAATGCTCAACTTCGCGCAATTCAGATTCATATTTATCACGAATTCGTCTAGAACAGAAGTGATATTAACACCAACTTCATAAATACTACTGTTAGTCTATTCAACCTACTTGATCCTATTCTCAGCAGCTCTTTCAGTTTCTTCTTTAGACATTGTTGTGTCTGTTTCTAGTTGAGAGATGACTTTTTCAATTTCATTATCTCTCTCATGTTTCATTTCTTCACGTAATTCACGTTCTTTTCCAGCTAAGGTTGTTTCGTGTTTTTTCATATAATTTTCCTCCCAACTTTGCTTTTCAATATCCAATTTTTCTTTTAATTCACGAATTTCATTCTAGAAAAACAAAATCAAAGGCTTAAAGATTTCAGACTGCAAAACACAACTTGTTGAAAAATCAACAAATTTCTGCACATCTATGTAACTGACTCATTTCTTTTACGCCTACCTGATGCCGTCTTTCTTGTTCTAATCTTGCTGTTTCATACTCTTGCTTCATTGCATTCATAGCATTACGGTGATTATCTTCAATATCTTTTTGAAGTCTAAAAATATTTTACAACCATTTCGCTAATATTTTCTTTATCTTTAAGCTGCGTACTTATGTAATTCATTTTGTTGTTTCGCCGCTTGTTCGGCTAATCTATTCTTTTCTTCTTCAATCTCGGCAAATAGTCGCCGTCGTTGTTCCAAGAATGCCTTTTCTTCATCTCTGGTTGATTTCTCATATCGTTCTCTCGCCAAATCCCGTTCTCTCATTATGGCTTGTTCTTTCTCCCGTTCCAGTTGATCTCGCAATTCTTCTGTCATTCGCACATACCTAAAACGTTTTATGTTATCACATATACAGTTGTTCCGTATTTAATAATACTTCTTACCGTTGTGCTGCTCTCTCATCTGATTGTAGCAATTCTGCTTCATTAATTAATTTTATTTTTTGGACTTCAGCTTTATGTTTTGTGATGAGTTTTTGTATTTCTGGTTCTAAACCCCGTACTGTCAACTCTTTAATTTTCTTGGTCTTTTCATCAATCCATTTTTCTCGTCTTAATTTCTCGGCTGCCTCATGAACATCTTTCAACTTTTGAATTTCTGTTCCGTGGTTATCTTCAAGGAAACGAATTTTATCCGAATATTTTTTATCAATGAGTCTAATTTCATTGACAAGTTTTTCACAACGTTCACTCAACTTCTTCTTGTCATCTATGAGCTAGAACGATACAAAGACCTAATCTTTTAATCAATGTTAATACTCTACCCTAGTGGATGTCCAATTTGTCTGGTCAGATATCTGTAAGTATAAAAGTCCTTACCTGTTTTCCTGGTCAGGATCTGTTTTTCTTCTGATCAGTGGAAGAAATCAAGAACGTGAGCTTGTTGTATATATGTAACAATTAGGTGTGCTGCTCGCTAATCGCCCATACTGCACAACAATCAGTAGAAACCTAGAAAGTTTTCTGAAGACCCTCTGGAGACATTCCAGTGTACCCATGAGACTCGGAATATCGTTAGATATCTCTTGCTCAGAAATCTCGAAGACATTACTCATCATCTATGAGAATAACTTTGAAATTTTTCGAGAATTAGTGGTCACTATATACTACGCGACTCAGCAAAACAAAACGGTGATTATGAAAAAAACCCTAGCTCTGGTCTTGAACCTGACCAGTGAATGTTTCTCAGAAAATACCAAGATCAGACAAAAAAAGTCAAGACTAGACGAAGATTTACTGTTTGTCTGATCAGTAGAAAAAACAAACTACCTTGACCTGATCTTATGACTTTCTTTGAGTTGACCAGAACAAGAAAAAAACCCAGAAAACGGACACCTGTAAGTAAAGAAGTCTTCACTGTGTTTCAAAACTAGACAAACTGGACATTCTCTAGGGTAAAACTGCCGTTCTTCACGTATAAACAAATTTGATAGATGAACTACGTACTTGATCAATAAATGCCAAATGTCTTCTAATTGCACCTTCATATTCTTCTTTTTGCAATTGTAAACGATACATCATTTCATTATCACCTTCTGTAGCATGACGAACATGTAATTCACGTTGCTCATTCTAAAATTTAAAAACGAAACATTTTAAAGCTTTATTCGTTGATGAGACAGACACTAGTAGCGGCGCCAAAGGTGGGCTTAGCCCATCCTAAAATATTTTGAGCCCATCCAGAAAATTTTTTCCTGGACTACGTTATTCGGGAGAACAAGTTGGATTTCTCTAAGTAATAACGGAATTTTATTGTTTTCTACTGTTCCACAACACTTGAAATTCGTGAAAAGACGGATGGTATGTTCCGAACATACCATCCGCCTTTCACTAATGTATCGAACATAATGTTCGGTACATTAGTTATTGTTTTACCATCCTATTACTGACACTGAACTAATGGAGCAGAATTTATTATTAAACATAACAATCAAGAACATATATTTGATTATTCATCACCAAAAAGTGAATGTGATTTTCATTAACTGGTCTTTTATGCTGATTGTCAACATGAAATTTATCCAATAACAAATGGATATCGTCTATCACTAGTTTATAATGTTGTTATTAATAAACAAAAAACACATTTATATTCAGAAATTTCATTGCCTATTTGTGATGAAGAATATGGTCACAATGTTTGTCAGGTATTAAGAGGCGTTCCATGAGTGAATCGAGTACCTTTAAGCAGGCCTGTCAATCGCGAAAAATAGATTTTGTTAAAAGTTACATCATTCGATTCAGCATGAAAACCTGGGGTGACGAAATTTTTTTAAACCTTATAAGTTATTTTGCTTTGAAGAAAATCAAGTTTTCCTAAGACCTAAGCTCAAAAAACCCGAAAATTGACCAATTTCGGCTTTTTATGTATAAAACCGTCAGTTTTCGTTCGATTTTTTTGAAGGACATTTCATTCGAAAGAGCGCACAAAACTGAACTCTCTCTGTTCAGAATTCAAAAATCGCCATTTTTCAGTTTTTTACCAATAAAAATCGACAATTTTCATTCAAAGTGTTTGATCAACATCTCATTCGAAAGAGCAGAAAAAATTGAACAATATCTCATATCACAGTTTTTCAAAACCTAAATAAAATAGTAAAATATTTTTTTGCGACCACTATTTTAACTTCAAAATCTTTTCAAATATCAAATTTTGTTCAGTTTTGTGCGCTCTTTCGAATGAAATGTCCTTCAAAAAAATCGAACGAAAACTGACGGTTTTATACATAAAAAGCCGAAATTGGTCAATTTTCGGGTTTTTTGAGCTTAGGTCTTAGGAAAACTTGATTTTCTTCAAAGCAAAATAACTTATAAGGTTTAAAAAAATTTCGTCACCCCAGGTTTTCATGCTGAATCGAATGATGTAACTTTTAACAAAATCTATTTTTCGCGATTGACAGGTATACTCGATAGGCTCGTGAAGGCTCTCTTAACAAGTTGGTATAAGGATATGTGAACAATGTAAACATTGTCCATGTTTCACCGGCACTGACTAACGTCTATGTAATGTATAGGTCTTCTAGAGAAAGAGAGAGAGAGAGAGTAAAAAAGAATGAGAGAGATTTTCTAACTTGTCACTCTCTACATTTTCACTATACCATTGTTCACATTGTCCATGTTTCACTGGCACTGACTAATTCAGTGAGGCCGAGCCCACCCTGGTCAAAATTCAGGAGGCCTGAGCCCACCCTAGTTTAAATTCCTGGCGCCGCCGCTAATAGACACTACTATACTGACCAATCGTTGTTGTAGCAAAAATATTGTTCTCTGCTTTTCTTCATTTTTCATTCTTAATTTTAATAGTTTTTCGGTGATATCCTGAGCTGTGTGTGTGGCATAATCATCATTATCTTCATCGCTTGGCATGTTCTGATGATCATACGAAATACTAATGTTACGTTGTTGAGGAGAATATTTCTCTTCGTTAACATGCTCATCAAGAATTGTATGAGATGGATTTATAGCTAATGATTTATGAGGAGTAGACATCTAGATAATAACAACTACATTTAATAGACACAAGAGTTCGATTTGTGGTTATTACCTGATACATTCTATGTGAGTCTGTCTGCTGTGTATATGGCATTGATAATGATTGTGCTAGTTTTCTATCAGTTCCATTTCTCACACTTACCAGTGTTCGTCTACCACTGTCTTCATTAAGATCTGAATGTTGCCGAATTGTATAATCCGAATGAGTGAATCTAACGCTATGTGGAGTAGGTGAATTCTGTTGTAACTGATTCATTAGTTGTGTTGTACTTGTTCGAATTGGTTGTAGAGGCCGATCTTGGGTTCGGCTCGTGGATTTTTGAGATCTGACAGGTTCGACAGTTAGATCATTCGTCTTTGGTATTTCTTGTTCAAGATAGGATAGAAAAGGTTCTAGTGGTTTGTGGGGATGGGGATTATTCTCCACTGAACCATCATCAGCATCTAATGTAGAGTCACTTAGATAGGCTAATGTAGGAAAAAATAAACATTATAGTAGCATGTTTTTTCCTAGTATTGTCTATTTTTGTGCTAGAAGTTATAGACTGTATGATGTAGGAAATTACTATTTAGTACTAAATCTTACTCTTTTCATCTTGTTGAATTGGAAATTGTTCGACTTGTTCTAATTTTCTCAATGTTTCATAAACATCATTCAACGTTACTTTTGAAGAAGATACACTACTGTTCAATGTTTGATGATCACTCATATCACCACCTGAGATTGATCTACTCATCCTCTATAAAGAAAATGGAGAAGATATAAAAGCCACATTCTTTGTATTACTCACTGCAAAGCCATTTGAGGACGTTGGATTCTGTTGTTCATTATTCTGTTTAGAGGGTGGCATTGGCGATAATACTCTATCGTTGTTCAATCGGGGAGTTCTGTTATTACTATCCACTTGCTTTTCTCCTATCCGGGATGAATTTGAACTGCGATTCGATGATGTTGGTGTTGGAGGACGATGTAAATTAGCGTCTTGTTGGTGTTTTGATTGTTCTCGTCTACGTTGAGCGTCCTTTAGTATATGATGGATACATGCAGAACTACAGAAAGTGAGATTTAACGAATATTTACTTTAATAGAGAGAAGTCGTATATTTGCTGCTTTTTCCTCTCGATCTCGTTTTTGTTCTAATAATGCTAATTTCTCTAATTCGCGAGTTCGCTCAATACTTAGTTGTCGTTCTAGTCTTTTTTGCTCTAATACTCTAAGAAGGAGAAAATAGTAAAGAAGTTTGAAAAACATCGTTTGTTAAATTAATGAAGCAAATCTTTTCATATTTTACCTTTTTGCATCTGCTTCTGCCTCCCTTCTTCTCTTATTCATTTTTCTATACCATCTTTGAATAATAACTGTAGCTACTTTCTTTTTGAGATCTAATTCTATTGGTGTTTGCTGAGCTATACCTGCTATTTGCGAAGCTTTCAGCTGTTGTGACCTTATATTGTAATTCGACTGCATCAAATTTAAACTATCACGCGACATCAATGTATCTTGCATTGTTGATGGGCCAACATCACGACTACTCAAATTCAAAGGATGACGTTGTTGTTGGCTTTTCGAAAAGTTATGATTGTTACTATGATCTAAAAATAACAGAATGTTAGATGCTGAGCTTTATAACAACGAGAAAATTTAAGACGAGAGCGATATGTACATTTATTGTCTACTGAGTAAGATTGCTGCTTCGTACTTTCTTGTGAAACTGTTTGTGAACGTTTCATTTGATTTGTTTCAACCACCCATCGTTTCGTATCATCCCATGAAGAATCGATATCGTCATGCTTTTGAGTTTGAGGTTGAGTCTGTGTTCTCATTCTTTCTGGGGCAATATCATCAGTGAAAAATGCGTCAATATCCTCGGAATAACGGTGAAGATTTTGAGTGTCAGGTCCACTAATATTTGGAGTACGACCAGTCGATGGAGGATTAAAACTTCTGTTTGAATCACGAGGACTATGAGCACCACGAAAGGCAGTTGAGGATGAGGGCTAGAAAGAAACAGACAGATTTTAGAAGTAAAGGTTGAAATTCATCCACGAATTTGTTGTGCACGTACATGCTGCAATTCATTTCCACGCTTCCGATTGTAATTTGTTCTATCATCCTTAGTCCCAACAGTAGCTTGTGTTGACCATGGTGGGCGATTTGAGCCACTGTTGTGTCTTTCTCGAACAACAGTCGATCGATTTTCTTTTCCTACAATAAATAAAATTTCAATAAAAAAAAGCATTTCATATATCATAAAATATAATTGATGGCGAATGGAAAATGAACGAGAATATTTCAGTCAGCACGTAAATGAAAAGACTTTTCAAAAAACACAGAGGAAAAGTTCAGAAAGTTTAGGAAAAAACGGAGAAAACTATGTACTGATAGACTGATGCTTTGTCACACTCACCCTGTTCTATAGTTCTATGTTGAGTTGCTGAAATATTTTCAACTGACGCAGTATGAACAAGTCGTTGTCTATGCTAAAAATAAACAAAACAAACATATTTGTTCTAATTTCTTACTGCATTAAATTCTTTACGAAACATACTGGTGCTACTGAACGTTTTGTCGATTCTCCTTCTCCTAAGTATGAATTACTTCTTGCACTTCCAGGTCTCGACGTTTGTTTTGGAGTAGTTGTACGAGACGACTGTTGGCTATTTGGCCGCTTGTGTCCTGATAATGATGTTCCAGTTAAGGTCAGATTGAATCCGTTCGTCGTTGTGGAATGGTATCGACCATTAGTAGCCATTATTTATAGGATAAAACCTAGATCTTTAGATAAAAAATTAGTTAATCTCTTTACTCTCGGTACATAGTGGAACGCTCGCCATTTTGAACTGCGAGTTTGTTGCTCGGGAATATCCGCTGAAATATTTTTATCTATTTGTGCTAATTTTATCAGTAATTAAGCTATTACCTTTCTCAAAATTCATTAAGCTGCATTATTTTATCGAGCATTTTGTTAGATAAAATATGTTAAACAAAATTAGTGCGGTGGTACGAGATTACGATAGGATTGGTCAATTTTTACAGCGAAGGACTAAAGGGAGTAGAAAGAAAAAGGAAAAATATAAAATGTAAATTGAATAAAGTAAAGCAGGATAAGGTTAATCCTGAGTTTTGAGTTAAGTAGCCTAAATAATCTTCTAGCGCAAAGTTTTAACTTGAAGAAGTTCCATATTGTTCAAATAGGACTTACTTTTTACACCTCAGCATCAGCGTTTCTCACGATTGATAAATCAAGCGAGTAAAATGGCATGGGTTACAGCTTTCAAAACTTGCTTTTATTAGAGAGAACATGGAAACTGCGACGGTAAACTGCGGAAACACACCGGTGTTTTTAACAGCACGTTGAACAAACGGACTTCCTGCTATAATTCACCATGAAAAACTGAAATCTATCGTAATTCCTACTATTTTCGGTACTTCTACAGATCGATCACCTCCCTGCCACTACCATCACTCACCCTCACTGCTACCGCCACTCACGTTTACCACTGGGGAGATGGTCGATCTGTAGAAGAACCGTGATATTGATTCCACAGTATCTTAAATTCATTATGACAAAAACTTGTACTAGAACCGCTGAAACCCATTTTGATCGAAATTCTCACCAAAAATAGCATTTCACACACGTCCTGATTTCTGTCTCCTAATGTTTTTGGTTCTATAGATTTTCGAACAGAAAGTTAGGTATACCAAGCATTTTTATTTTGCTTGCAGCATAAAGCCTACCGATCTTTGGCTTAGCGTCCCATGTAAAAATTTTATGTCTCAAACGCGTTTAGTGTTGTTGACAGATGCCTTTGAATGCGTCTAGAATGAAACGTCTGTGCGCATCCAAATACTCTTGGAACGCGTTCCAATGCGTCCAGATGTTTCATTCTGGACGAATTCAAACGCGTTTTTTCAGTTTTTAGAAAAAAGCGTGGTTTTCCAATTGCAGATATTCATATAGATTGAAGTGTACCCGCAGCCTACCATTTTGAAGTTATTTTGAAAAATGTTATTGACGAAACGTGAGAGTTCACCAGGTTCTCGACCTGTAACGTGATGGCTCCTGTCAAGCAAGTGAATCAATCAGATAAAAGACTTCTAAAAAGTCGCTTTCAGGAAAATAATCACGATCAGTATTTTCGGATTTTTAGGACTAAGTGCCTCTTGGGTTTTTTTAGTATTAAGCGTTATATCTGGATTAGTTTCAAATCGATCTCATGTGAGAGAAAAGGTCTTTTGAGGCATAGACAAATTATAATAAGTATGATCAAAAGTTGTTGGCCAACAATGTAAACTAATTTTTGATTGTTGACTTATATTTTGACCGCATTGTTATTATAGATTTTTTTCTTGCATTTTCTCAATATTGTGCCTGGTAAGATGAATCGATTAAAAATACAATATCTGATTCACATTTAAAGTATGTATTTTAGCTTTTTATTTCCTTACATGTTATAGGGTTTTTTTGTCTTTATTTCAAGATTTTAATAGTGACATTAGCTTGTTTACGATGTCTGAAAGGCCACATATAGGTAAGACCGAATTTTTTCTATTTGACATTGCACGATGATGATAGTTTATTTAATTCTATATGTTAAGAAATGGCAAATTCAAATGATTCACAGTCATCCACTCAGCCAATAGTATTCGATGCCGATTCTCCTTCATTGAATAACTCAAACTCAAAAGTAAATAATAGCAATAATACTGACACGAATAACACTACTTTTGGGTAAGATAATTTAAAAAGAATAGTATGCAAAGAAGTTACCTCTACATTTATGATTATGTTTTTATTATTATTTTAGCAATATTGCAAACCAGTCCGTTCCAACTCCACGTTTATTTGGCCAGTTTAATGGTACATCGTCTTCTACAAGTAGTTTTGGTAGTAGTAGTTCATTTGGGAATCTATCATCGAAAGAAAGATCAACAAGTGACAATAGCAATTTTTTTGCCAACGCTCTCGGAAAATTAACATCAAATTATACTTCTGGCGGCGGAGGATTTTCTTCGACGCCTTCACCACTTCAATCATCGTTAGCATCTCTTGGAGCAAAGTACGTGTCATTTTTGTATCTGTGACAAAATGGTACTGTGTATACTTAGAGCATTTCGACTTTCTTTCATTTTAGTAAACCATTATTTGGTAGTCAACAGTTAACTCAAACAAGTTTTGCAGATGTCACTGCCAAATCCTCATTGCAATTATCACCGTCCTCTATTGATCAAACAACACCAACAAATGATAACTTTGATAAAAGAAAAAATCTCACATTTGAATCAAGTAAGCAAAGAACAACATTTATATTAATGTATGGCAGTTGTCTATGGTTATGTTATTCTAATGATAGCACAACTAGTTAAAAAAAAGAGACTTATGGCGAGTTTTTAATACTTCTGTGACTGCGACTGGTTAGATTGTATCATTGTTTATTTGAATCTACGTGATGAACTTTTCTTTTGACTCTAAATCATCTGTTATTTATAGTTAGAGAACATTCATCTTCTACCGTTCTCAATGGTGAATTGAAAGTGCCACAATCATTAATAGAATCCGCTGCCGAATACGAGTCAAAGAGATCGAGTGGATTAACAAATATTCAAGGCGATACATCGACCGGTGAAGAGGATGAAATAACAAAATTTCAGGTATAAATAGCAGAGTATACTTGATGGATAGTACTTAGTTGTAATAGTTTTATATGTTTAGATGGGCGGAAAACTGTTTGTATATAATAGTGAAAAACAACAATTTACAGAACGAGGATATGGAATATTGAAAATTAATGATAGATTCGATGAGCAAACAAATAGATATCATTCTAGATTAAGTATGTATTAACATTATATAAAGAAAAAAGAAAAGGAAATTAGTTCTTTTTTGGAAAATATAGACTATTTAACATTTGTTTGTTCACTTCTTTTAGTAATGCGTTTAGATAAATCATTTCGTGTTATACTAAATTCTACTATTGTTCCAAAAATGACTGTTGAAAGAGCAACAGATAGAAGTGTGAGATTTGGAGCACAAGATGATAATGTCTTAAGAGTGTTTGTGATAAAAGTAATATATTCTTTAGCTGTTAATAAATATCAATGTTGAAAATATTTTTAATTTGTTTTGTTCTAGGGCACATCCTTTGATTGTAGTGCATTTCAAAGTGAATTAAAAACTCGTATTCAAACCATTGAACGGTTACAATTAAAAGAAGAGCAAGGAAACACACGACAACAGCAAATAACGACAACCAGAAACAACGAACAAAATTCTGTATAAAAGTTTTGCACTGAATATTATAGATATATGTCAGACTGTCGAGAGTGAAACAGACGATGCTTTAGTTCTAATATTTGCTCATACAACTAAAAAAAATAGAATTTTCTAAATTATTTCTCACGTTTCCACTTTGTTGATCATCGTTCCTGTTTTAGGCTATTTTCGTCTACTAGATATTTTTGTGTTTTAGTTTGGTGATGGTTTGCCGGATGATTCGTTATTACCTATTGGTATTCGAAAACGTTCTCATTCGCGAAGTGAATCGGATACGTCGGATAATGGCGGAGACTTGTCGAAAAAGTCAAGGTAAGCTAGAGATATATTTGTTTACCTTTTTCAGTTATTGTAGTTTTATATAAGAAGAATGCCTGTTTCGCTTTCTTATGTACTATGTAGTTCATAACTCTAATATTAACATCTATTGTGATTTGCAAAGTATTTTGCTTTTAGAATCGTCCAAAGTGTTAATAATCCAGAAAATGATGATGAACAACCATCAAATAATATTGATAATGATGAAAACGACGATGAGGATAGTGGACATAGTTGTCCAAAAAGTGAACAAGAATCAGGTGACTCTGTCCGATGAATCATAAAATTTTTATTCCCATACTTTTTTTTCATCTAGTTTTTTCTTTAAAAGCAACGATAACTTTTCTTACTTGTATATAAGACCACGACATTTTTTATTATCGTTTAAAACCATTATTTTGAGTTATAACTCCTTGCTTGTTTGCTCTAGCAGCAACGATATGTCATTCTATGTGTTAGTGTTATTTTGTTTATTTTTTCTTTTTGTTTGTTTGATTTTTTTTGTATAACAAAGAGTGAGAGAAAGAAAGAAAAAAAGATGAATTTTTAGAAGAAAGCAATAAGATAAATATAACAAACAACGATTCGAATAAACTTGTTAACAACTGTAGCAATCATGAAAGCTACAGAGGTGAAAAGTTCATGCTATTGTTTGTTGTTCGTATGAAATGCTGCTTATCAAAGATATTCACATCGGCTGTAAAGTGCGATGTCACCAAATTATAGAACACAAAATTTTAATCTGTCTAATAAGAAAACTTACGTCATTTTTATACCAATGTTTGTGATTGGAAGTATGTATTATTAGTGCATTTTTCACAAAAAAGTTATTGAAAATTATAGTCGAGATCTGATTTAAACAGGTGTAAGCAGCGTCAAGTACTCTAAAACAAATCAAAATATATTTTAAGTTTCGGTATAATTGAGTTCCATAAGAGTCATGCCAAAACTCCTACTTCTGTTGAAAGTTCTTACTACTGTTAATTCTCAATATCAAGATTTTTTTTCTAGACAACTTTGCTCGTCTTTGGAGCTAGGTCTTGGGATTCGTTCGCATCATTTTTTTGTGGATATATCAAGATTCGACTTAAATATGTTTAACTAAGTGACTACTCTTCTTCGCTTCTCACTATTCGCTTGGTCTTCTGGTGGAGAAAATCTTAACGAACTTGAACATTAACATCTGAAAGTGTCGAGTTTAAAAATGTCCTGGGAACTGAGAACAGTAGGACGAGGTTCCACATGCTATGAGGACGTTCTTACATAAACTTTGAATATTAGGAGATACAACAAGCAGCTGACCAACTTTCAGATCAGATAAAAAATACCAGAGTTTGGTGCGATGATGCTCCTACTCTGAGTAACTATTCGATCGACTTTTGAATCATTGATGCTGGCCACGGACTTCCATTTTATGGTACCCCGAAGCAATTGTCTCAAACAAAAATTTTAAGGAGTACATTTTTAAGTTATGAGAAATTAACTGAAAACGAATGAATTGGGGGCAGAAATCCAGAGTAGAGATGTGCACGGGTACCATTTTCGTACCCGTACCCGATCCGAAAATTTTTTTCCACCCGTACCTGACCCGACAACTTTGTACCCATGCCCAGCCCGTACCCGACTTATGCCTAAAAACTTTCTCCTTTTTTTCCAGCTAAAAACTTTTGTTTTTCGGCTGAAGATGTCAAATTACGTTCTCAAGTAATTCTTTTTTAAATTAATTCTTTGTTTAAGGTGAAAAATTTTATAATAGAAATCAAGAATAAAATCCCCTTTTTCATGTTGGAAATAACTATTTCAAATGAGACGTTTCGTCTTTATTCTAAAGACATCATCAGTCAACTGATGTACAAAAAGTAACTTCTAACATAGAAAAAGATAATAAAACACGTGTAGAACAGTAAAATATTTTTCTCTTTCTCTGTCCTTTTAGATCATATGTAGTATGATTCATCTTAAAAAACATTGAACATAAAAGTCTTTTGAGAATATATAGTTCTTACTCTTTTTTTTGTATGAATGTCCATGAGCAGACGCTCTTTTATCTCTCTTTTTAATTTATGAGATTCAATTCCAGGTTTCTCAAGGATTGCTACTCACGGGTTGGCGAGTGGACATAGAACTAATTGGAATTCAGGAATGCTCGCTATAGAATCTCATAAATTAAAGAGAGAGATAAAAGAGAGTCTGCTCATGGACATTCATACAAAAAAGGGAGTAAGAACTATATATTCTCAAAAGACTTTTATGTTCAATGTTTTTTAAGATGAATCATACTACATATGATCTAAAAGGACAGAGAAAGAGAAAAATATTTTACTGTTCTACCCATGCCCGACAACTTCGTACGCGTACCTAATCCGACCCGAAAGGTAGGGTACGGGTCGGGTTGCACATCTCTAATCCAGAGCCTCTAATCGAAAAGAGACAAGAAAGGGAAAAGAAGCTTTTGTTTCAGTTACGAACTTTGTTTTAAACGTTATTTTCGAAAGCGCCTAGATTGGTAGACATTTTGACGTTTCCCGAATGGCTTTTTTGCATAAGGTCGTAACGCTCTCTAGGTCTATTTTGACTATAACTTTATGAAAGAAGTTCAAACCTTCAGATCAAATACGGATGTCTAAAATGGACAAATTAACGCAAGAATCAGCTCCCTAATTCTTTTACTTTCTGCGAAAAATGAAAATAATTGTGACGTAATGTAGCGCTTCTCCAGGCTGTGATGTTAATCTATCTTAGTCAATCTCGATATAAAACAAGTTGAGTCGAATATTCGGGAATGTAAAACAGAATTTTTCTCCTTGATGGTGTGAAATCGATAAAAAGAAAATTGTGCGAGGTAGAACGAAAGAATAATAACAACTTTTTCAATTATTCAGAGGATGTGCACCCTCACGGTATTTTAGTGACTCTCTTTTTTTGGTTTATCGATTAGATAAACGTTTGTTAAACATTTGATTAAGAAAGCAGTTTATGTTTTTAAGGTAGGATGAATAAAACCGAAATTTGACCATATTTCACGTTATTGTGATGTTTTTGTCAAATGTTGAGTATATTGACATGATACAGTCTCTCTATTATTTTTATTTTGTCTCACCAACCATTCTATTTGAAAATACATAAACTGAAAAATTAATATCGGTTAACAATGATTCGCTTTAGTTTCACTCGAACCAAAGCCGAAAGTCCTCACCGCTCTCGCTATTCATTTACCGTTATTTTAGCATCATTATTCGTATTTACAAGAAAACGACTTATCTAGTTGATCGACACATTTCTGCAACCCTTGTCGATATTGTTCTTCGATTGCATCACATCGAACTTGAGCATCGACTAGCAATGTTTGTTGTTCAGCTTGAGTTTCTACCAAAACTTTGTATATTTACGCTTGAGTTTCAGCACTTATTTGTTCGTGCCGACGTTTTGCATATTCATCGATTTGACAGTGTGTTGAACCTAAACGCGATTGACTCTAAGAAGAGCTTATACAGGCATATTGTCTTCATCATTTACTAAGTTTCGACATTAATTGTATCATTTTAGCCGTATTTTCCATACCAACTTTTGGTTGTGTTTCTGTATTAATAACAGATTTAACATGAACATTATCGGCAATATGAGCAGATGCCAATGGTTCAGTAATCGAAACTTCCTGATGTTGTGCAGACGTCATTTTTCACAGAGTTAATCAAAGCTAAAAGGCAAAATAAAACACCTTCGTAAGAGAATAAACTAAAAAAGAATTTACTGAATGTGTTGAGTCATTTGCGATAGAACGGATCTTCAGCCTTAATCTTAGCGTTGACTGTCTTTACCAGCTGACCAAGTATATAATATATTTCTATATTATATCTTCGAAACAGTTATGAATGTGAAGAAAAAATTTACTAGACCTTTCTAAGAAAAATGAATCCTATTTATCCTATGAGAAACAACTCGCTTACTCTTCCACTACTTGATAGATAAAGTTGGTGTTTCAATGGTAAATAGATAGCTAAATATAGGAACAAATGAACATGAACAACCATTTCTCAATTCAACATGTGATCAAAACTTTATCTTAAAATGTATTTTAATTTTGATATCTTTACAAAGTCAGCGTATTAATAGTCTTTATAGAAAAAAAAACTTCTAGGACTTCCCGCCTTTCTAAGGGAAAAAAAAATCCCTTTTTTGATAAGCAGAATGGTCGAAGACAAAAGCGACCTTGTAACAATCGTATAAATTCATATCAAATAAGAAGGGTCTTTCTTCTCCTTTCCTGGTAAATGTCAGCAAGTGTGTGAGAACCAATCACTCCATATATGACCCGAGTTCACTGTTTCTCGGTCATTTTTTATCCAGATCAAAACTAAATCTGGCCGTTAAATTCACGAGACTTTTGTCTAATTAGAAATGTAAAAATTCAAGACTTCCGCAGTGGAATCTTGTAACAGATACGATTAAAGCCAGCATAATCAACTTCTATCAGTGTTTTAATGCTATACATATATTTCAGATATATCTCTATTAATATTTTTACTTCCCATTTCGTTCTCTACAGAAAGAAGGAAATTTATGTTTTCTCGCATTCACGAACAAATGTGAAGGAAATGTCAACACAGATATCTGAAATATATATGTATGATTGTTCTCACATTTGAACAAATATGCACGTATATGTTGTAGCGAAAACTGGAATCCGAGTTTTCCCTAGCGAAAACTGAGATGTACTCAAGACCAGTCCATTTTTACAATTCGGGCATGCTTGATTCACAGTATCCACCTCATGCATTATACAGGCATGCAAGAATCGAGTCAGAGACGTGATTGACGTCTATGTATACGTCCACGCTCCAGGCATGCTGTTTAATAGCCGCAGACATGAATTTTGTCTGTACTTCAAGCCACATGCATTGTTTGAGCAGGCAGAATGCATTATGTTCTCTCATTTTTCTATGCACCATTTTGTTTTGTCAGCGTAGAGTGATATAAACATTACAGTTTACTTAAGATATTTTCAAAGTTTTCGACTTGATGCTTTTCCCTCTCGTGTGAGAAGTGCCGAGACAGAGTCATATATGTTGTTAGGATCCTGGAGAGATCCTAAAACGGAAGAAGACAGCCCGGTAGTGTAATGGCAGTACGTCCGACCGGTAATCGGAAGGTCTGGGGTTCAATTCCTCAGTCGGGCAGTGGTCTTTTCCCGTTCTGTCGTGATATAACATCTCGCTGGGTGATTACGGGGCGTAACATATGTCTTTGTCAGTGTGGTACTGAAGCAATTAACACTAAATAAAAAATGAAAACTGGAAGTAAAATTCACTAATTAACTGCTGTTCATTTCTGAATATCTCTGCTGATCTAATTTTTATTCTGCAGACATCTAGTTAAAGAAAGATATCTCTTCTATTATTTTTTCTGTGGCTGTGTATCATCAGATGACAACGACCTCTACAGCATATTATATATGTATCACTTATTATAGGCTGAATGTTTACATCTAAGAATAGACGAACGGAAGGCTTTTTCGCCAATGACTATTAGATAAAACAAATAATCTGCGTGATTCACAGTATCCACCTCGGGCATGCAAGATTAATGCATGTCTCTTGATTCACATACATCTGTACCAGAGTTCCCAGATCCTCAGGTCAGAAATGCGGAATAAAAATCTCAAAATGCGGAAACTTGCGGAAAATTTTTCTCAGAATGCGGACAAAAAGCGGAAACACATTTTCATGGTCTAACTTCATTCG